CTTTGCAGGGATTTTTTCTGGCTTCCCGGAATCTAGTGAGGGACATTCCGACTACAGGTGCGCTAGTGTCTCCGGGACCAGGTTGAAATGACGGCAGGTAGGATCCCTGAAATGGCTACGCAATGTGGTGGTAGGCCGGGCCTCTTGTTATAGTATTTTATTCCATGTATTTAAAATATATTAAATCATGCTTTGTAAAATTATACGAATTTACTCATTATTGCAGTCATCGAAAAGCTATGTCTTTTCTCTACGCGAATATGTAAATCTTACGTACGTCTAAATATTAGATTATTTTTTAAAGGAAACTTTAGCGTGACGCAGATATTTAGAAAGATGTCAGTGTGTACACAACACGAGACGTCAAATTTTTAAAACATGCAAACGATTCTATTGCCATGGTAAAAAAAAATATACGTCAGTCTCATCTAAACTCTTAACGTGTGTCAACACTTGTTTTATACTTCCTGATTCGGTACATGTTTTGTCCTGACACTTCCATATCTAGAGAATCGGCACCATTTTTGTAAACATCCTGATCTCTCTTGGTGGCATGCGGATTTGTTGCCAATGAGTCACACACATACGTTTTAGTCTAGACAAAGCAGTTCTCAAAATGATGTAGTCATAAGCCCCAACTTTCTTGAATATTATATATTCCACTTTTTTCTTTTAACAACAAAAATTGTAAGCATTTTGGCGAGTTACCAGTTTGTGTATTTATTTATCAGACAACAATAATTTCTAAGTTTTTCCAATCCTAGTTTTCGAGGCACTATTGTAACATAGGTGCACATCATAAAAGACCAACAAAATACAAGGGAAAATATAGTCATAAAATTACTAGCGCAGTTATTGTGAGCTTGCCCACCGAACAAAATCAAACACCTTTGTGCACCTCATTGAATTATGGTTGACGAGATTCCAATATTATCCTCGATTAGAGAGACTCCAGATCGTCTCTTTGGCGTCCCATGTAGTTTGAGTGTTTTTGAAATCACGTGTTGATGACCTTCTTTGTCATGACGTATTGATGAGCGTCTTTGACGTCACGCGTAAATGAACCTCTTTGACGTCAGTCACAACAACATATGGTGTCCAAAAAATGTATTTTTATGAAAACCTGTCCGAGAAATCTTCCTCCATCCGAACTAGAAGGCTCCCAATATCACGCCTAAGACACATTAGTTTTAATGCTTTGTAGGACTTCATAACCAGCTAGACCAGTCAACCGTTGCGGGTTTGTTAAACTCTTCTATAACGAAATCTTAACCATCGTTTCCGAAACTTTCACGTTTCTGCGGACCTGTAAAGAAGTTGTGCTTTGTTTTAAAAAATTTCAACAGTGACGTTTCCAGATTCATCAAATCTATTTTCTTGGCATTTGACCTTAACTATTCATGTTGAGCCAAACTCCGTTGTAAGGCTCACCCGTCCATGGACAATTTCTTGGGGACCGCTAATATTAAACAATATTGTCCTTTCCAGGGAAGTAGAATTGAGGCAGATGGGATGAAGGCAGAGGGAACCGTCCTTTTTTATTTAAAAATTAGTGTTGACATTTTCGGAAAAAGGGTTGGGGGGGTGTGTTTCGTCGAATGTGACGGGCAAAATTCTAGAGCAACCCTTGACGGCACTTACCCTAGCTACGCCAACGCTCCTGCTTGCCCTTGACGGCACTTACCCTAGCTACGCCAACGCTCCTGCTTGCCCTTGACGGCACTTACCCTAGCTACTCCAACGCTCCTGCTTGCCCTTGACGGCACTTACCCTAGCTACGCCAACGCTCCTGCTTGCCCTTGACGGCACTTACCCTAGCTACGCCAACGCTCCTGCTTGCCCTTGACGGCACTTACCCTAGCTACGCCAACGCTCCTGCTTGCCCTTGACGGCACTTACCCTAGCTACGCCAACGCTCCTGCTTGCGGCTCCCAAAATGTTTCATTAGACATAATAAGTTTTAAAGATGGTTCCTCACACACACAAAAATGTGCTGACCTCTGATATGGACGAACAAAGACCTCTGACCAGGCACGTGACTTGTTAAAGTACACTGTTAACTTCACTGTTAACCTTCACTGTCAAATTTCACACTGACCAAAGAAAACTGTGGAATATTTTTATATAGTGTGGAATCTCATGTTGTTTCACCCCACCCCCTTTTTCCCCATTTTTGTTTTATTTATTTATTTACTTATCTGTTGAATTTTTTTTTTAAAGTCATTGTAGGAGTCATTGTGATCTGCCTGTTAGCTTCATACTCATCTCCTTGTTTCACCTCTCGATTTTGTTTTTATTAGGATTTCTGGCACATATACAACAACAGAATTACAACTTAATCTAGACAAGCGGTCTTTAACCTTCAATTCCCCGTCCTATAAAGAGTCCGTGGGCAGATTCAAGTTTTCTCTGTGCTGCATTTCCCTACATAATTTCGTAAATGCAATTTTAAAAAAATATGTTCTCTACGAAATGTGTTATGCCCTATGGTTTTCATTTGAACTGGTGTGGCGTCCATGAAACACAAAAAGTCTAGGAACCCCTGATGTACTCACGTCCCTCAAATGTAAGTCCACCTGTTATGTAGACGTGTTTACGTCATATTTCCCCATGCTGTAAACTCTACCTGATCCCAAAATTCGGATGCGCTTTTATTAAAGTGTGGCTTATTAATTGTAGTCTCCATTTGACCTCGGCTACAATAAGCTACAATCAATAGTCTGTTTATTCTCAGAACCTTGTAGAATTACGTGGAAGTTTTGAGAGACTACTACAATGCGTATTCCGTTCTCGAATCATCTAAGAAACAGGTTATACCGGTATATAAAGCCGAAGAATTGAACGACAGGCCAGATTGTGAGACTGAGAGACGAATGACGAGAGTTATTTTAAGGTTTGCTATTGTTTTGCTACGAGACAGAGATTGGTCTACTGTGTGTGTGTGTAGATTCCTTTTCATCATTGTACCCTTTGTTTGACACAGTGTGTTTTCTTCAACAATGTACCGGTACAAGCCTAACATCACTCTTTAAGTCAATAGTTTTTAATTTTATTTCCTTTTGATTTTGCAATTCATTATAATTAAACTTTTAATAAAACTTATAAATTATAATTGGCCCTGTTTTGAGTATCGTATTCTTTGTTATTATATTTAACATATGGTTTCGTCTTTTGTTGTGTACTGTTTTAGAGCGAGCCATTTACTTCAATAAGAGATGAATTCCTCCATATTGATAACAGTTACCTAACACCACCACCACTTAAAACTAAATCCCATGTTCCTAACTGGCTATTTGCCCCTTTATTAAACAGTGACATCTTTCGTTTACATCCCTAAGTGTAGACATTTTTAATGACGATAAACTCGGGAGTGAGGAGTTGGTGTACAGCTCTCCAACTATTACATAAACTCAATTGTGTCCAATCCACGTCCAATCCACGTCCAATCCACGTCGTCCAATCCACGTCCAATCCACGTCCAATCCACGTCGAATCCACGTCCAATCCACGTCCAATCCACGTCCAATCCACGCTCAATCCACGCCCAATCCACGCCCAATCCAAGCTCAATCCAAGCCCAATCCACGCTTAATTCAAACTTGACCAATGAACGCAGTGGTAAAAGCGTCACAGCTTTCTCACCGAAACAACGCGTGGATGTTAAGATAAAAACAAAATAAGCAAACACTATTTAAGACGGTTTTAATCGTGGTTGTGAGAATCACTGATACCCAATATAGGAAGAGATTGGCGTCATATTTTTATTTATTTTTTACTTTTATTCGGGGGGGGGGGGGTGTTGGGGGGGTATTTTTGAACAAATGTTCTATAATTGGTTATTAGTTTTTTTTTATCGTAATTTTTTTTTTTTTTTTTTTTTTTGTGGGGGGGGGGGGGGTGTTGGGGTGGTATCTTTGAACAAATGTACTATAACTGGTTAATAGTTTATCTTTATCCGAATTTTTTTTTTTTTCGTGATAAAGGGGTGGCAAATGAGGGAACGCCCTGAACATAGCCAAAATAAATATTGGTTGTCGTGATGATTTTATAAAAATTTAAACAAATCAAAGTGGAAAAAAATGAGTGTGTGTTTTGCTATGTTACCTAATAGGTATGGAGTCATTCAAGGTGGAGTTGACATAAAGTAAATTAAAAAAACAACTAAGATTATCAATTTATATTTTTTTTAAACATTTTAATGGATATTTTGGAGAATTGTACACTTTGAAAAAAAAAATTAACTCTATTATGTGGATGAGAATGTTCCCAACTTCCTTTACCATGCAGACTAATTATATAACCATTCGGCGATCACTGGCTTTAGCAGAGTTCCAACCGAAATTCAGGGTATATGTGCATGACAGGAAAACAGGCGCTGTCTTTTTTATTTAGTTAGCTTTCATTTTGCTGAGTGCTAGACGTCATAATCAGGGAGGATCTCATAAAAACGCTCAATTTAGCGACGCGAAGCGCCATTTCCAGGAAGATTATACGAACAACGCCCGCAGTACACTGTCGCAACACACTTCCTTACACAGTGATCAGAACACCATTGAGTCAAGGGTAAATACCGTTGCGTTATCCATGCAAAGTGGTACTGCAGTCAACATCGGAAAATCCCGTTTTAAATCATACGTTCGTTTCTATTTTTTTTTTATTTTTATCTCGGGGACTGGGGGAGGTGACAACACGTCATCAACTGTGATCTCATGGAAACTCAAGCCATGTCCTGTTTGTGTAGATCAGCGGTTTCTGAACCTGTGAGTCACGATCCCTTTGGGGGTCGCACGACCCTTTCCCAGGGGTCCCCTAAGACCATCAGAAAACGCATGTGCTCTACAGGTATGACGTAGCAACGAAAATAATTTTGTAGTTGAGGGGTCGCCACAACATGGGAACTGTATTATAGGTACGCGGCATTTGGGAAGTTTGAGAACCACTGGTGTAGATAGACTGCATGTCTACATCAGGGCCAACGTCACACTATGCTCTGTGGCACTGTCCGTTACGGACGTCGATTTTTTAAATAACAGTTACTGTTTTCAGGCGCAAATGACCAACGGACCCAGTGCGTTTTAACTGTACGCGAATGGGTAAGTTTGAGTTACTACTTATTTTACTATCGTTAGATCGACTATTTAGTCACCTTTAGTTCAACCCGGCAGCCAGCAGATTACGTAAAAACGTTCACCTATTCCCATGGTTCTCAATTTCTTGTAAAGTATTCCTTGCGTGGCGGTCTCTTTACAATTTGTTGAATGCTCGTGGACCTTTATAATTAGCTACATTTAAAATACAGGCTTCTCATTTATTCAGAAAACGGCATCTCTTAAGTCTTCAAATTCACATTTAGTGGGATTGATGCATCTGCTTTGCCTTAACAAGCTCTGTTTTGGCTTTGTTTTGGCCAGTGCAACCCTTTATGTTATATTTCGAGTCCTATCTGTTTCGGGATGTTGGTTTGAGATCATTTATTTTGGAAACAAACCGTCTCACACGCATGGGTGGTTGCAAATGGAACCAGCCATCTTTGCAACATCGGGGTAAGACTGCGCAGTTTCCACCCAAACATCCCTACAGCACATTTCACGGAGAGCATGTTTTTCACTCCCATCACTTATCAAATCAATAAACTATTATTTAACTAAATTGTCCTCCTGAGGCAGATCACTAGACAAGCCTTAATATAAAACTTTAGTATTTTCTTCTAAGAATTAGGATTGGGGGGGGGGTGGTGGGTGTTGGGTTGTCTGGAAGGTTACCTGTGAAAACCCTAGATACGAAACTATCTCTATTTGACTGTCTCTTTTTTAGATAATTTCTTTCCAGGCATTTTAGTCAATTGCCACCTGATTTAACTGTTAACATACCAGGTTATAATTTTTAATTTGTATAATGCATCCACCCAGGTACCCACGAGACAGAGGTCAGCCTGGAGGGTGAGCTCGGCCTTCACCGACGCTACGTCATGTGCACAAAACACCCGGATCACAAGGACTTCATCTCGGTGAAGGACTTCACGTTGCAGCACCTGCCCGCTGGCCACCGGGACGACGACGTCTTCGACCTCATCGCAACCCTGTCGCAGCTGACTGTCAGGGTGGTGGTCACCTTCACGAGCTGGGCGCGCCCCGAGCTCCACCCCAGATCGGAAACCGCGTACCCGTTTTACAACATTCGTGGATCGAAAGCCATGCGCACCGGCTCCGGTCGAATCTGGGGGGTCAGGAAATACCTGAGTGATGACAATCCTTGTCCGTGCTCTTCGTGCGTGCGCTCCAACACTCCCAGCAAACACTGGGGCCGTGTGTACATCTACACAGCCACCCACGTCGTTTTTGACTCCTCGGAAGGTCAGCGCGCTAAAGTGACGTTCGGTTATGACGTAGACCTGGAGCACTCACGTGTCCTTGACGGGGTCGGCGAAGGCGTCGTGTCTGACCTTGACCGAGACCGGTGCGTCATGTCGTGCGTCACGTGCGACGCTCCCCTGCTGGACCGCCTGACAGATCTGGTGCAGCACTACCGAAAGGTCTACAGAAAGGTCCATCAGGAGAGCGCCAGACTTCCGAGCGATTCCAGACTGGCCGTCGTCATCTCGCACCCTCACGGCTGTGGCAAAATGGTGTCGGTCGGGGAGTGGACACGCAGGGAGAAGATAAGTGACAAAATGGGTCTGATCGATACGCAGTACACGTACAGCACGGCCACATGCGCCGGCAGCAGCGGTGCCCCGGTTTACGTGTTGGGAACGTCGTGGTACACGCTGAGCCACAGTGGTGCTGGCGAGGACGGCAACTTTAGCGGTGGCGGCTGGGGGTGATTAACGTCGGTAATCTGAAAAAATGTCGCTTCATATCTGAACCTTTTACAGCATGATTTAGAGAGCTGAAAATCAACCACCCAAAAAAAAAATTGCGGAATAGCCTGAAAAGATTTGCAAATAGTTTTCTGCGTAATATCCTTAACATCTATAAAGTACCACAAAAATGTTCTGGGATTCATTTGTGGTGCCTTCAGGACCACACCCACAGCTGTTATTGAAATCTTGGCCAATGTATAACCACTAGACATAAGAAGGGACAAGGAAATGTTATATACCGCGGCACGGTACAGCAGATTAAATGAAAAGGAACCCTGCTTCCAAATGCAGAATAACTGGGTGTTTAACTGGAGTTTACTGAAAAGATACTCATCCATGAATCATGTTGTGGAACTTGACAGAGCAGTCAAACTCCTTAAAAAGAGAAAGTATGACACCTATCCCAGTCAGTTCGCGAAATGCGGAACATTCCAGTCCCAATATATGTTTGCTCTGAATAATCCAGCTGAGACATAAGGCAGCCCTACAAATGTTTATAAAGTGTATGCCTTGAGATATAAGGAAGGGTTTGCTGTAACCCCAGTGTCAGTGTTTACGGACGGATCTGGAAACCTAAGAGGGCTCTCATCGTGTATTTAATTGGAGGGCCACAAAAAAGAGGAACTTTCAAGCCCCCGTGGGACTTTAGCGGCGAATTTCCATGTTAAGTTGGAGGCTATTCATAGGGCCCTGGAAAGCGCAAAGTGCGCTGCAGAAGTGGGAACTAAGCGGGCTCGACACTGCCCTACTAACAATTACTTCAACGAGCCAGACAACAATAGGTACCCGACTTGCGGAGACGTTAGCGCATCTGTTGACTTCGTACCCCGCCCTGGCTATCACAGGGAAAATAAGGGCGGTGGGAGATTCCTAAGTTCATGCCATGTTATATGGAATTTCACAGCAGAATCAGCGAATGGATCGGATTGCCACTGTACTAACTGGTGCTTTAAGAGCGTAACCTCAAGTCCGTACCACAATATATATTTTAGCTCAAGCTGACTTGTGTTCCCAGGTAGGAAAAAAAAGCAAGTTCGGGAAAAGTATTTATGGTTGATCATTATTTTCCCCAATACGTAGTTTATCGTTGGATAAAAAGATTGCTGAACAACTCCGAGAGATATTTATAAAGACTTCGTCGAAAAAAACGGTTCACGAGAGGCTGAATGGGTCATTGGAAGGGAACGATTCTAAAAAAATGTCAACTGCTTAGGAGAACCAAACATATCCTATAAAAATATAAATCATCTTGCATTATCTTACGTTTTCTACAATACATCATTCTTGCTCGCAGGGGGGGGGGGGGAGTTTGCAGTACCTACTAGAGAACTCATGCAATAATACTTTTTTTTTTCTGGACGACTGGACACACCATTTATGTTTGACACAGTACACTTCCAGAACAGCTATATTATGTACCAATAGACAGAATAAGTATGTAGCATCGTTTAATTTAACTCCAAATATCTTTTGCCATTGATCAGCTAACCTTTTTTTCAAACACAGCGCTTCTTCACGATCACTCAATAATTGATGTTGATAATGATGATGATAATGATTAAATACTATTATAGTGCTTGTGTACATGTTGTTTTTTCATGCTCACAGCGATCTGATATCCTAAAATAATATGTTTTTTAAAGAAAAAATTGTATTCACTTACCTATTCTCAAACAAGAGTCCACTTTCAAACTACGCTTGCCCGAAATATGTCCATGAACAAATGTGGCGACTAGAGCTATGCACCTTTGACATACGTGTTCAACTATGGGATTTTCATTTGATATAGTCTTTGTGTCGAGCTAGATTTTATTCACAACGAGTCGGTTCTTGCAACCTTACCTCGCCCATTGTTTTGAGCATCATCATTGGATTCTGCAACTCCTTTCCCCCACATCCTTTGATTTGGAATGTTTTTCACGTTTGCAGAAGACTCTACATTCTAGAACAAAGAGGAAGAAAAACTGCATGGCGATTGAATTTCTAGACTTCCTGTTCTGGAGGGCTCTGTCTACCCCACTATAAATACGTCGGTCGACATTGCACGGTCGACATTCCACGGTCGACATTGCACGGTCGACATTCTACGGGATTTACCAGACTTACAGAAGCCCTAAGAAACTTACTAGATATTTACTGTCTGCGTGTATTAATATGTCTACCTTTCTAGTATTACACTTTTCACATGCGCTTATTTAATTTAATAAAGTTTTAATTTTTACATATTTGAATATGCATTTTTATATCAACCTGCTATTATAATTAAATTGATTACTACTAATATCACTAGCTTTGGTATCGAATTTGTTTTGGTTCTCTGGTTGTCAATCTTTTGTTTGGTATGGTTCATTTAAGGATCCAAATTTTACAACTACGGATTAGATTTGTTAAAACTTTTAACGGTACTTAATACAGCATCAATACTTTGTACTAATATATATATATATATATATATATATATATATATATATATATATATATTTATATGAAAAAGCTTGGGTGACCTTAACGCCAAAAAAGCCGAAAAGATTTAAATATGTTCGGATTCTTATAAACAATCATAATTATTTTCTTTTATTTTACAGTTCCGCCATTGTCTGTGACGAATGACTTAATTGTATTTGTTATATCCCATTCTTTTGCAAACTGTTTCTACAATTCAGCAGCATTGTCAGAATAGCGACGCTCAACAATCATAATTATTTTCTTTTATTTTACGGAGATCGAATAATTTAATGCGCCAAAAATATTATATATCCGGTTTTATTTTAATAAAAGTTGGAGCATTATTGTTATAAATTACAAATACATTTAAAGTAACAACTAAGAAACTATCTTAAGCATATTATTAAAAACATATTATCAAAGAATTACACCATAATCACATTTATCTGGAAAACAAAACAGCAGGTGTTTTTAGTGCGATTTTTAGTGTGTTGTTAATAATGCGAAATAAAACTAAACCTATTTGTTATAAATAATCACGCAAATGACGTCATAGCGTGAATTGACTATTTAGCCAAAGACAAAAGTTATTTTTTGATTTGATAAACGCGAGTGACAAAACTGGTGATATATTTTCAGCTTTTTACATGTAAAATTAATAAATATAATTGATTGCGTTGTAAATTGTTAATTAAACTCGCACACATTTTAGCTTAGTATGTTTACCATATAATAACGTTTTACATTTTTTAATACCAAAAATATACTTCTATTAAATTTGTAACGTAATAAAAGCTTAACATTTAAATGTACTTTTAAAAAGAACATTTCATTTAAGTCAATCAGTGAAGCGAAACTCCAAAGCCAAATAGCATTTACTAATCCACTTATAACTCATCCAAATAAGAATAAAACATTTGAAGTGCGAAATATGTTAGTATAAGCAGGGAAGAGGCTTCAATGGGCTGGGGTAAAGCGCTATAAAGACTTCTAATAATAATAATAATATAAGAAAGTAAAACAATCCTTTGGAAGTTTTTTTTTTTTTAATATGAGGGTGGGAGTGTTGAACGTTTTGCTGCCCAGGGCAGCAACACATACGCTTCAGAGTAAAGGAATGAATTATGATCAATAATTAACCTCCTTGGGTACGTACATATCGGAGGTAGGAAATAGGATGTGTACATTTTTACATGGATGACAATAAATTTAAATCCTATGGTGTTACATTTTTGAGAAAAGAGATGTTACATTCTCTTTTTACAAATAAACATATGTTTACCAATTAAGAAAAATCAATGGAGTTTAAAAAACGTAGTTCCATTTATAGAAGTGTACCCATGAATATCAAAACCCAATCATTTTACACACTTGAAAGTTTAATTTTTAAAAACGGGGATAGGTTGATATTTTCTTTTTAAAAACATGAAAATACATGTTTGATTTTACTTTGCGAAAAGTAAAGTAGGTGTGTATTTTTATGAGATTAAGAATTTTTAAAAAAGGAACTCAAGTCTGTTATAAACGTGAAAAACGATTGTGAGATCATTCTTTAGATAACAGAATTTCTTTTTTTTTTTTAACGATTTCTGATAATTTATAATTAAAGAAACAAGGCAAAATTGTGTATGAATTTTTGATGAATATAACACTATTTTAAATTCCTTTAAAATGAAAATATATGTTATATCATATATAGAGTTTTCATGTTTTCACAATTTTTAGAGAACAAAAGTTGTAGTTCAAGGGCACGAAAATGGGTAAATCTAAAGTATTTCTCTAGAAATTGTCCCTCAATTAACTTCTTTAGTGACAAAGGTGATATAATAAGTGATGATTTAGATTCGGTAATTTAAGGTCATGTTTAGAGGGATAAAAAGTAGTTTAGGGACTTGAAAGGGAGTGGGGTAGGCGTATAATATATAGCAGATAAATACTTTACAAAACTTAATGATGTTAGAAAGGTAAATATCATTACATAGATAATTCCTTTTACAATTAGGAATTGTGATGAGTTTTTGCAATAGCAGTAGAAGTTATCTCGATAAAATCGGGTCATATATTCTAGCACTGTATAGTAAGATAAGTACTAGTATGGACCTATCAAGGTTCAAGATGTCGAGGAAGATTGAAAAACACATGGCGAAGCAATGTTGACAATGATGTAAAAAAAAAAAAAAAAAAAAAAAAAAAAAGAAAAAATTAGAAAAAAAAAAAAAAAAACAAAACAATTAAAAAAAAAA